ACGTGGACCGCCTGCCTTCTTGGCTTTGGGTGGCACCCTGCCCAGCCAACTCCTCCTCACCCTCCCCCCCCCCCCTACCCTACCCCCGCATACCGCACCGTATACCCGTGCACGTGTGCAATCCCTACAACCTCTACATGGTGGGTGGTGGTAGTCGGTGGTGGGTGGTGGGTGGTGGGTGGGTGTAGCCCATCCCCATCCCCATCCCCCCCTCCCACCCCCGCCCTTCCCCTCCCCATGCCTCTTCTGGGGAATGAAGCAAAAAGTGGTCGGAAAAGCAGCCACCGCACATGATCACAGACAGGGAGGGGGGAGGAGGGAAGAAGGGGGTATAGAGGGCATATGAAGAGTATGGAGATAGAGAAAGGGTATGTGTGTGGGTATGTGTGTTATACCCATACTGGTGGTGATGGTGCGAACATACCATAGTCCCTCAACTCGGTGGTGGAGTAGGAAGTGAGAGGGGGGGGGGGGGGAGGGGGGAGGGGGTACAGGGGGGGGGAGAGGGGTTCAAGGGTGGCGTGGGCGTGGCCGTGCAGAGGGGGAGGAGACGAATGCTCTCGAATGATTCATTTGCAACCAAATTGAGAGTTGGTGGCGAATGGTGGATCAAGCCAACTGGCCATCAATAAATGAAAGCAATGAAGTTTGCAATGTGAGCTGTCGTCATCTGCCGTAGTGGCAACAGCCACGAGCTGTGTACATGGTTCACAGGTTGTAAGCTTGCTCATAGTAGTTACCATCGGTAGAGTGGTAATGTAAGGGTTCTGCACACAGTGCCTGGGGAGGGCCAAGAAGGCTGTGATGAGGCTGTGAAAGCTAGAGAGGGGGGGAAGATTGCACGGAAAAAGGAGCGCATGTCACACGCGCCACACCACGTCACGACAACCACGGACAGAGCAAGCGCACTACCTGCCTCGTACTCACTTTTGCATGTCGCTGGTGTACTTGACAGCTATCATTGCCATGCTGTGCGGCCTTGCTGCTGGTAGCGCGCCTTTCCGTGGCCTTCCCGCTGGCGCCAGCTACACGGATTGGAGCCCGCCGGCGTCGTCGGTGGGCATCTCCTACACCAACGACACCATCTCGACGAGCGTGGTGACGCCTGCAGGATTGGTTGTTGCCGCCTACTCTTTGAACGTCGGATATCGTCTGGTGCTGATTCCGTGGGATGGGTCCGGTCCAGCGCCGGGCATGGTCCGCATCACCCCGCCCCAGTACTCCATCGATGGCATGGCAGTCGACGCCGCCGGGCGGGTCTTTGTCTCGGCCCACGGTGGAAGCGATGGAGAGGTCTTTGTGACCGGAGTGGCCACCGATGCCAAGAAGGGAATCTTGTTCCTGTGGTCAAAGTCGCTTGTGCCTGGCTCGGGCGTTCCCATCTCGTACTTTGTCTCGGTCACCTTTGACGTCGACGCCGGCAACGTCCTCCTCGCCAACAACACCCACGTGGCGGTCATCGATGGCGCAACTGGAGTCACGCAAAAGGCCTCGCCAGCGGTGGGTGGAGGTATCAATCTGCTGTCGGGCGGCGGCGTGATGGTGTGCAAGGAACTGTACGTGGCGTCAGGCGCAGTGTTGAGCCAGGCCGGTGTCACCATGCACCTGGTTGGGTGGGAGAAGAACACACTCGCACCAGTCTTCTCGACCGCTGTCGATGCCTCGGGCCTCGCGTCGGATGAGTCGTTTGGATCGTTTACATGCGGTTCCTCCGAGCCGGTTGTCTACGGCGTCGTCTCCAAGTGCCCACCGTTTTCGGAGACGTGCGAGCTCTCGCGGTACGCTGTCTTTGACGCGGCGGTCGCCAGCAGCGCTGCCGCCGGCGCGCGGATTTATCTCAGCCCGTCGACAACCTATCTTGATCTCACGCTCATCTCCACCGCCGGCGCCGACTATCTGCTCGCCGAGAAGCAGCCGTTCCTGATCAAGCAGAACGAGCTGCAGCTGCTGACCTCGTCGGGCTCGACAATGTGGACGACCCACGTTTCGCAGTCGACCTATTTTAGAGAGTTTCTGCAGGCCGGCTTTGAGCTCGTCCTCGGCGTCGGCCTCAAGCCCATCGGCGTCGTCATCTCACTGAATAATGGGGCGCAGAGCTCGTGGGGCACACTCGAGGTTCCAACCGGCTTCTCCTCGCAGGGCTTCACCCTTGTCATGGGCTCCTCGACGCCCGCCCCGTGGATCGTGGCGCTCGGAACTCTCAACGGCGACGGCTCGTGGGTTGCTCTTGCCGATCGCCTCGTTACGTAGATGAGATCCTTGAAACAGTCCTGAATCGCACGAGCGCAAACGTGCCCGTCCCCTGCCCCAGCAACCGCCCACTCGTCTCCGAGTCATCCGCCATGGCTGCACCCACCCGCTCAACAACTAGTCAACAACAGTTCATATATCCCGCCTGCCATCCATCTGACTAATGCGATCCCGTCCATCACCTCGGAGACGAGTCGTCACCCGAGTCGTCGGCCAAGTCGGCGTAGTCGAACGCCGCCGACCAGCCAACCACCTGACCCCCCCCCCCCCCCCCTTCCACCCACCCACCCACACTCACAAACACTCACACACCACACACCACACACCACACACTCATTCGGCATGTCCTCTGAGGACATCCGGTGGGTGCTCCCTTCGCAGTCACCGCCTGCCTCGCCTCGCCCTCCACCCACATCCAAGCCGACCGCTGGAGGAGGCGAAGGCCCGTATGCCGCCTTTGCCACCGCCCCACTCGCCCTCAACCGAAAGTGGACGGTGCGACCCAAGTTCCGCTACGTCAAGCCACCGCCACCGCTGCCGATGATGTCACCGCCGCCGACGCTGGCTCGGTCGCCATCTGGATCGCTCATGTCGTCGCGATCAGAGGCAACCATGCAGAGTACGCTCCTTGCTGTCCGTGCTGCCGTCTCGTCGTCGTCGTCGTCGTCGTCTGCACTGCCTCGGGCTGAAAACACCGAGGCTGCTGTGTCGGCAGAGCTGGAGCGGTTGGAGGCATCGTGGCGGTCGCTGCTAGAAGTCAACGCGACGGTGAAGGACTCGCTGGCGGCGTATGAGGCGGCGACGGCCAAGATCGAGGCAGCCAAGATGGCGGAGATCCGCGAGACAGAGGTCGGCGCAAAGTGGCGGACGTCCAAGGCCAAGGCCAAGAGCCAGGCTGAGCAGGCTGGCGAGGAGTTTGACGAGAGTGACCCGCGCCATGCGCAGCGGCGCCGCGAGGCCGAGCAGACGCACGCCGCGCTGGAGGCCATTGTGGAGGCGTCCAAGGAGTCTGTCCAGGACCTGGTTGTCGACCACACCCGCAAAGCGATTGTGTTCAACACTGACGTCCGCGAAATCGGCAACTGGTTCGACCTCCTTGCTGCGCAGAGCTCCGAGTTTGACCGGACACTCGGGCTCGACAAGGACGTAGAGGAGATGGTGGAAAAGTCGTGGGAGGACGTGGCGTCGGGCATGTCGGTCGAGGGCGTGGTTGAGACCATCTCGGCGGTGTTCTCGGAAAAGTGGCACGAGGTGGCCAACCTTGTGGCCTCGCTCGCCGACTCGTACGCGGCGCGATTGGCGGCGGCTGACAAGCTTGCAGCCGAGCATGCCGACCTCAAGGCGTACGCGCAAACCGCCGGTGCGGCGGTGGTTGCGCTCAAGGACGCGGTGGCCAAGTACGAGGTCCAACTCGCTGACGCCGCCACCGTCACTCGGATGCTCGAGTCCAAGCTCGCAGCGCGGGCGGCTGAGGAGCTCGAGTACTCGGTTCAAGCGCAGTCTGCGCTAGAGGAGCTGCGGAGCCAGGTTCAGGCCGACGCGGTTGCGCACCAGGCCGAGGTGGATAAGCTCAAGCACGCGCTCGCTGTCGCCAACGAGGCCAACCGCATCGCCTCCTCGGAATCGTCGACCGCCCGCGAGCTGCGGACGGTCAAGGGCATCATGGCCAAGCGCGAGCGCGAGCACGAACTGGCGCTCTCGCGGGTGCACGCCAAGGTTCGCGAGCTCCAGTCAGAGCTCCTGGTCCGCGACTCGGTCGCCGCCAAGCACCGCTCCAAGCTGCACTCGAAGCTCGAGACCAAGGCTTCGCGCGCGGTGTCCAAAGTCAAGGCCGAGGAGGAGACGCGCATCCGTGCGGCGGAGAACAAGCACAAGCGATCGCTCGCCAAGCTCATTCGCCAGCACCACCGCGAGATCGAGCGGCAGGCCCGCGACCTGACGCGGTCGCTCTCGTCAAAGAACCCGGAGCTCGCCGGCGCGTTCGAGTCGCTCAAGGTCGCATACGAGGCTCGCATGTCGGCCTTTGTCCAAAAGTCGGACATGTACCGCGACCGGGCAAAGGCCGCCGAGGCTCGGCTTGGCGCTGTCACCCTCGAGAACCAGAAGCTGCGCCAGAAGCTGCGCGCTGTCGCCGGCAAAAACTTTGACCTCTCGGCCACGTTCCAATCGTCGGGCCTCTCCGACTCAGCCGTGTCGGATACGGACGACTCGGCGGTCTCAGACGGAAGTGCCGGCTCGGGGAGCTCGCTCGATGAGCTGGTGGCGTCGACCCGATCGGTGGCCTCGGTCATGGCCGCCGCCACCAAGCAGCGGGAGCGGGCGCAAACGCTGCACATGGGCGCGCTCCGTGCGCTGCGGGCACATCTAGTTCTCGAGCGCGAGCGCGCGGTCCAGGAGACGACCGACGACATGGCGGTGATGGCCCAGGAGCGTGACGCAGCCCGCGCTCGCATTAGCCAGCTTGAGGATGAGCTTGCCGCCGCACTCGACCGCTCAAATCTGCTTGAGCTCAAGACGCAACTTGTGTCCGAGACCTTTGACGCAGCGGCCGAGGCCGAGCTCGCGTCGCTGGCGCGTGCCGCACAGGCCGCAGAACCATCCCCGGAGACCCTTGCCAGGACCTCTCACATCGAGCGCCTTGCCAAGCTCAAGGCAGACATCGACGCGTCGATGACGGCGAGCCGGACGCTGGTCCAGACCCAGAGGACCATGCGGCCGAGATTGAGCGGGTGCGGAGTGAGGCTGCCGAGGCGCTGGCAGCTCAAAAGGCTGCACACGCCAAGATGCTCTCTCGCTACGATGGGCTCGTTGTCAAGCTTCAGGCGCAGCTCAAGCTGCACAACGACTCTAGCGTGGCGCTGGTTGATCCTGTGGCGCCAAAGGTAGCCCAGCCGACTTTGTCGAGCGAGACCAGCACCGGTGGTGAGCTCTCGCCTCCGGCTCTGGCAGCGTCGATGTCGTCCGTTGAGTTTAAGACAACGGCGGCGGGGCCGAGCGTGGGAGAGCGGACCGCTTCGCTTGGCCGCCGCCGCCGGCGGCCGGTGCTGCATGACCGGCGGGTGGCCTCGCTCGGCAATAACGCGCTCCAACGGACACTAGCCCGGTCACGATCGATGACCGGCTCACAGCCGACGGTGAGCACCAAGGACAAGGGCGTCCAAGTCGAGATGCTGGTGAGTTTAGAGCCCGAGAAGAGGGCGATGGGCAGCGAGAAAGGTGCGCCGCAGGTCCAGTCCCCGGTCCCGCCGCTGGTCCAGGCCCCGGTCCCGCCCCCGCCCCTGGCCCGCGGCGATGTCACTGTTGAGCACAGAGCTGGGAGCGACGCTGGGGGCGACGCTGAGGGCCTAGCTGACGCAGCGGCCCAGGTCGACGAAGTCTGGGTTGTGCTTGAGGTGACTCGCGAGGAGCTGGCCAAGACGCGGAACGAGTTGCACGCGCTCCGTGAAGCAATGATCAAGGCAGCAAGCGCCGAGGCCAAGTCGGCAGGCGATGGCAACGAAGCTCGTCTGCTGCTACTTGTGGATCAGCTGGAGGAGGCGTACCGCGAGTTGGAAGAAGCCCGGGCTGCGCTAGAAGCCCGGCCGGAGGCTGATCAGGCGGCAACAGCCAGAGCAGGAGCGCCGGCGGCTGTCGAGTCCGGGACGAGGGTCGGCCCGCGGGCGCGGACGCTGCGTGTGGCAGACAAGAGTGCAGGGCGTGGCAGCAGCATGCCGCGGCCACCGGCGCTGGCGCGGACAGCACCGCAGGCGGCAACCAGCGGCGACGGTCATGCCGGAGGCGACGACGACCCCGAGGATGCGATGCCACTGCCCTCGGTGGCGCTGGAAAAGCCGCGGGCGGTGGTCGAGTGGGTGGCGCAGCGGATGGACCACATGCTCCACACGCGACAGGCAGTGCGACGTGCGCGGCACGCCAAGGAAGCCGCCGACGCAGCGCGCGAGGAGGAGCGGCTGCACCAGATGAGTGTGGCAGCGCATTACGACTTTGCGGCTGCGATGCGGCGTGTCGAAGAGCTGCGGACCGCGCTCGACGATAAGAGTGACCGCGACGCGGCGGCACGGCTCGAGCTCCGGGCAGCGCTGGCCAAGACCAAGTGGGAGGCGAAGCGAATGAGGCTGCTTGAGGAGCGGAACCGCAACTATGCGCGGATGCTGGCGTCGGTCAACCTGTATGTGGAATGTGAGGCCGAGTTTGACTCGCTGGTGGCGCGGCGGCTGGTGGGCGGAGTGCGGGTGCGAGCGCACACAACACGGTCACTGGTGGCTGTCGGACGGCGCGGAAGTGTGGCGCCGGCGTCGTCGACCATCGGCGCGCTGTGGGCCTCGCCGGTAGGCCCGCGGCCGCCGCCGGGCATGCCGCCGATGTGGCACTCGGCCAACGCGCTCTCGTTTGCGGTGGCGAGCCCAAAGGGCCGGCTGAGGCGACCGCGTGGGAAGAAACGGCGGCTGCGCAAGGCGCGCCGTGGGCGCAAGGCCTCCAGGGGGGATGCGCGGCCCGCCCACGCCTTTCGCCGACTCCCGACCAAGGGCCTCCGCGGCAAACTTCTCGGCGAGCGGCCGCCGCCGGCGCCTCCGGCCAGCAACGTCGACACGAGCACCTATTCCAGTAGCGAGCGTGACATGGAAGTTGTAGGGCGCGGCGATGAGCGGCGGATGCGCCCGCAGTCTGCGGCGGTGGCCAGCTTTGTGGAGGCCGTGCAGGAGGAGCCGATTGTGTGATGCTGTCGATTGCAGCTGTTTTACAGACCATGGGGGAACGCGCAGGCGCAGAGCGCATGACAGTGCGGCGCGGCGCAGAGTGATAAAGGGTGGCGCAGAGCAGAGAAGGTGGCGGCTACTCAAAATAGACGCCAAAGACCATGGCTGTGCAGAAGATGGAGGCGTTCTTGTAGGAGGAGGAGGCCCAGCCATCGGTCTCAACGGACCAGAGACAGCGAGAGACGGTGTTGATGCCTTGGCCCTTGTTCTCGCCCAGAACAACCTGAACAACGATCTTGTACCTGGGAAACTCCATCTCCCTCACAGCTTCCTCCACCACCTGCGTCAGCTCGACCGTCCACTTGCTCGCCGCCGCCGCCTCGTACTCCTTGTCACCGAGCCACGCCTCGAGAGTCTCATCCACCACCTTTTCACCCGCGAAACATTAAACCTACGCCCAGCCCATCACCAGCCACACATGCATGCAAGTATCCCCCCGCCATGCCATGAGTACACCCCCCACCAGGTCGACCCCCGCGACCCCCCCCCCTCCCCTCCCTCCCTCCCTCCCAGCCCTTCCCCTCTCCCCCTCCCTCTCCCCCTCCCCCTCCCCCTCCCCCCTCCCACAGGCAATACACACGTACTTCTGCCCCTCATGCGGCCCCAGCTGGTAGGTGTTCTCACTCCCCTCGAACAGGTCCATGCTGCTGTGGGTGGTGAGTGCAGTGGCTGTCCGTCCCCCCCTCCCCCCTCCCCCCCCTCTCTCCTCCCGCCAACAGTCACTCGACCAGTTGCCGACCCATGGCCTGCCTGCCTCCATGCAGGTGAGGTGATCGGGATGGTGCAGAGGCCAAGGGACTATCGGGGGGGGGGGGGGGGGGGGCGGAGGGGGGTGCTGGAGTGTGTACTGTCCGTGTTACACTTTTCGAGGAGAGAGAGGAAAAATTTAATGGTGTGAACTGGGTGCAGAGACTGCTTCGCAGGGGTCTTGTACTACAGCCGCGGGATGAGTTTGGCGTGTATGTGCTGGTTGGTGAATAAATAGAACGCGCAGAGCAGGTGGGCTGGTCCGTACCTGGAGTTGCTCTATCGATGCAAACCGAGGTTGTGATGATGCCGAGGTGGGGAGAAAATACTAACTGATCGGGCCGATCTACTTTTTCTGCGACGTCTTTGTCACCGATACCCTCTACATGGATGAGATGCAGAGCCAGAAGAAGAAAACGTTGTGTGGACCCATGCGCACAAGAATATAGTCACTCATGCCGACTAGAGCCAGACAGAGAAGCAGAGGGCCACCCATCACACCTCGTATCAAAGCCACGCGACCATCCATCCCAACCTCGGACAGTTTTCTTCCGAGCGACGGACAGCACCTCTCTCGGCTCCGAATGGAAGCCCGCACCTGGACTCCTCCGTGGACGCCCTCCGCCCTCCACACCCGCTGGCACACCACCCACCCATCGACTCTCCCCTCTCCCCTCCCTCCAGCAGACGCTACTCTGTGGACACTCTCTCCTGCTTCTTCTGTATCCCCCTCGGCTCCTGCTGCCCGCGCTGCTCTCTCGCCGCTCCTCGACTCGCTCCGCCTAAGATGGTCCGCACTCTCCTCGCCGTCACCCCTTCCACGACTGCCGGAGCACTGCGAGTCGGCTCTCGACGTACTCGACCTGCTTGCTGCTCTCGATCTTCATGATGATGCTACGCTGGCGGAGCTGGTTCATGCCGTTCTGGTAGAGATCGAGACGGCTGATCTCAGCGCTGTCAACACTGTCGATGCTGCCGGCATGATCCCTGTCGGCTGCGTCGCCCGCGCTATCCATGCCCGGTTTGATCCGGCCGATTCGCTGGCGGTCGCCGTGGGCAAGCTCGCGCCAGGCCCGCCGGATGCTGGCCTGCTCTCTATCCTCGACAGCGTCTACGTCGGCACGACCTCCTCCCCCGGTCACCAGGCTGCGCGCAAGCGGCTGTGGGAGGGCATGCATGGCGACACCATGCCCCCACTCTCGGAATCGCAAACACGTCTTTTTGACGCCATCAATGCTCGCATGGCTGCAGACTACTCTGTCCGACGATCGGTTCTCCTCACCCGCCTCGGCGTCACCCTCAAGACCTTTGCCCGCCACCCGGTCCTCGCCCAGCGCCCGCTTGTCACCGCCTACGCCGCCCTTGCCCAGTCCCGCCTCCGCCGCCACACTAGCTTTTCCTGGACGGACGTCACTGCCGCCCAGGTCGACCTGGCCATCAACCGCAAGACCTCGGACGCACGCTATGCTGCCCGCACCCCGGCCCGTGTCAAGCACATTGTCATCGCCTCCAAAGTCCGCGACCGTGGCGGCCGGCCCTCTGACATGCGCATGCCGTCCTTCCGCGCCCGCGTCGAGCCGGCGCCCGCCTCGCGCGGCCGTGGCCGCGGTCGCCGCTCCAATGACCGCAACCGCAACAGCAACCGTAATCGCAACCGCGACAACACCGAGCCCGCGCCCAGCCCCACATCCGCCAAAGTCTCCACCGACTTGCCCGTCGATAGCCAACGCGGTCGCGGCCGCGGCAAAGGCAAGGGCCGCAACCGTAACCGCCCTCGCAACCGCAACCGCAACCGCAACAACACCGATCCCACGCCTGACCCTGCCCCCGCCGACTCGCCCGCCGACGGCCAACGCGGCCACGGCCGCGGCCGCGGCAAAGGAAGAGGCAAGGGCCGTAACCGCAACCGCAACCGCAACCACAACCGCGATCGGAATGACAACGCCCGTCCCTCGTAGTCGTTTACTTGCTCATGTGCGCTGCCAGCCAGTTGAGGCCCGCCCCGTAGCCCTGGCGGAGCTTGAGCGAGCATGGGAAGATGTGCAGCGGACGGACGCTGTCGCCGAGCTGCTCGTCATCAGCTCCGGTGAGCATCGCCGAGATCCCAAGCGCGACTGCCATGTCTTCCGGCCCAGCCGCCCACGCCTCGTCGACCTTGTTCGCAAGGACAACCACCGGCGCGTCGGCCAGGTGCTCGTTGTCGAGCACGCCGAGCAGCTCGGTACTCGCCTCTTCAAACCGGCTTGCGTCCGCGGCATCGACAAGGAACACCACGCCGTCGACGCCGAAAAAGTACTCGCCCCACACCCGCCGCGCTTGCTTGTGCCCACCAACATCGACCGCGCGCAACGTCAGCGCGCCCAGTGTCACCTCGTGGCTCGACGGCTGGATCGTCGGCTGGTGCGTCGAGAGCCTCCCCGTCGTCAGCACTTCCATCAAGCTCGTCTTCCCCGCCGCGTCTAGTCCCACAAACACAACCTTGCGCTCGCGCGACCTCGAGAGCCCCAGGAATACAAGCGCAGAGCTCACAGACTCCCAAATCCACGTCACAAACTCGGCCATGACTGTGGCGCTGGAACACAGGTTCTGCGACCGATACCCGCCCGCCCGCCCGCCCACACCACCCGCCTTTTTGACGCCACCTGCACCCGGGCGACACGTCATCGCGCAAAGACTACGCCTTCCGAGTCGCAGACCGACGTGGCAGGCAAGTCGCTCGGGATGTGCCGCTCGCGGTTGATGCGAATGCTCATCATCAGCTCCACAAGCGCATCAAACGCCTTGTCCGGCCCGAGCGCAGACCGCACGTGCTCCACAGACGCCAGAGACAGCCCGCTCCACAGCGCCTCGTCCGAGAGCAGGTCCAGGATCGCACCCACAAACATCGACGCCGTCTCTGCCACAAGCACCGGCGGGTCCGGACCCAAGCCCGCCGCGCCCCACGGCGTCGTCACCAGCGGCACCCCGCGCTGCATCGCCATCACGTTCTTGGTCGAAATGCCCGAGCTCGTCACCACTGGCGAGACAAAAACCGCCACCCGCGCAAGTACTTGCTCTAGATGCCATCCGGGTAGCGGGCCGAGGAACACCACCCGTCCCACAGGCACCCGCTCCAGAAGCCGCGACATCGTCTCGCTGTCGATCGCGCCCACCACAGAGAGCACCGCGTCGCGCCGCGCTGCAAGGTACGGCACCACCGCGTCAACCAGCCATTCGAGCGCAGCCACGTTGCCGTCGTTGGCTGAGCCGCCCACAAACAGCAGGCCCGATCGCGCTCCGCGCGGTGCCTGCGGCTCATCCTCGGGGCATCTCCATGCCGTGAACGGGAGCACATGTACCGGCGTCGTGACCCCGCTCGACGCAAGCAGCTCATCCAACAGCGCTGCATCCGCCTTGGTCACTGCCGCCACCGCGTCGGCTGCCGCATATATTGCAAGCTCCCGCTGCCAGATCTCGTCGTCGAGCGTCGCCTGCGCCGGCAAGCCCACCTGCGCCCGCACCGCCGCCAGCGCGTCGCCCTCGGCTTCGCGCGCAACCGCAAGCATCGCTCTCCGCCGCGCATGCACGTCATCAGTCATCACCACAATCGCCGTCCCCGGTGTCGACGCCCGGAGCTGTGGTATAAACTCCTCAGGCAGCGAGCAAAGGTTCCAGAACCACAGCGGAATGATGGCCATGTCCAGCGGGCCTCGTGCTGCGGCTTGCCGTTCCAGCGCCAGATCATCCAGCGCCCGCGCCCGCTCGCTCCGGCTCATCGGCGCCGCCGCCGCGTCCGTCTTGAACGGAAGTGCCAGCCGGTCAATCGACGACAGCCCGCCGCGACGCGACGCAATCGACTGCGAGACCCCAAGCGCCGCCACAGCCGCAGACGTGTACGGTGAGTCTGCGGTGAGGACCCGGACAAGAACGTGTGTTGCCGCAGGCGGCGCCCCACGCGCCATCGCCCCCAGCGACGCAATCAACGCCAGTAGCCGCGCGTCCGAGCCCATCGACTCGTCATCCGGCATGGACTCGGCCACCACCAGCGTCCGCCCGAAACCGCCCTCCAGCACCAGTGATGGCACAACAGCGCTCGCTCCCAGCTCTTCCACGCTCTGCACCCGCGCCAGAGCCTCGCACGAGCCATGGACCAGCGCAGAGAGGGCCGCCATCGGATGTACCACAGATGCAGGTACTCTAAGCACATGCGCGAGCTGCGGGTAGCTCATTGCCAGAATGATCAAAGATATCAAGCCCACACACCCGCATCCGACCACCATCCGTCGCGGCGGCCCGCGTCGTCGGATCATGCCGTCCGCCTGTGGCAATACCAGGAACTCGCACAAGGCGCTCCTCCACTCGGCCTCAAAACTCCCCCCGCCGACAGTAGACTCAGATGCAGCCTGCCGACCACGCACGTCACACACGTCACACACGTCGACGTTGTCCCAGCTTGATCGCCCTCGCTAATCTCGCCCTTCCCTTTGTAATCTGCCCGCAAATCAGCAGCACGCGGCAGATCGAGCAACGACGAGCGAGGCGAGCGAGGCGAGCGGAAAGGCAAGGCGAGCGAGGCGAGCGAGGCGAGGCGAGCGGAAAGGCAAGGCGAGCGAGACGAGCGAGGCGAGGCGAGCGGAAAGGCAAGGCGGGTGACGGGCTAGCACGAGAGCGGCGACGAGGGAGAGCCAGCCAACAAGGACAGAAGCAACTCAACTACCACTTGTACCACTGCGTCCAACACCAGGCTCTGTCGCTTGTCACTATGCCCCGCGCCACCTCGTACAAGTCGAGTCTCCCTCGCCCGACTCCCGCCTATCCTCGCCGTTTGCCATCCGTCGGTCGTCCCTCACCACGCTCGCCGGCACTGCTGCCGCTGCCGCCAGGCCTGATCATGTTGCCCTCGCCGCTGCTAATGGCGAGTTCGACATGCCTCGGAAAGACTCTCGCTCGCTTTGCCTCGCCTCCACTTTGCGTAGGGAAGGTGTAGCCTCTGCGGCGAGGTCGAACTCGCTCCGTAGTCGCCATACTGCCGCTCACTGGGTGGAGCTGGTCGAGGAGCAGCAGCAGGAGGAGGAGGAGGAGGAGGAGGAGGGGACAAACGATGCCGCCATTCAGCGCGAGTTTACGGCCATGTACGAGCGGAACAAGCGCGAGGTGGCCGAGGCCTTCCGCAAGGCTGCAGCCGAGGATCCAAGCATGGCCGAACTGGTCCGGGAGCACAAGGCTTTTTCCGCACGTATCAAGGGCGTGCGCAAGCTGACAAAGGAGCAGACCGACCGGATGGCACAGTTGTATGCGAGTATGGTGGTAGCTGCAGAGCACGAGTTGCACGAGGTCAAGCAAGCTTTTGCCATCGTTCATCTGTTCGAGGCTGATCAGGAGATGGACGGCAAGCTCTCCGTCGATCGCGCCGCAGAGCTGTTCTCCTTGGCTCCAAGCCCTACGCCCGTGCCATCCGCAAGGCATTTACCTTTGTCACCGCCTCTAACAAGGCCAAGAGTGTTGACATCCTCGACATCTTTGTCGTTGCCTCCAAGCAAGTCCTCAAGTGGCTCGGTGAGCTGGACCACGCCGAGTTCTCCGAGTTCTCCGACCTCTCATCGTGGTCCTCGGCCGAGTGCACCACGTCAGGAGGCAGCTCCAGCTCCAGCTCCAGCTCCAGCTCTAGCTCTAGCTCCAGCTCCAGTGCCAACTCCAGCGACAGCTCCAGCGCCAGCGTCAGCTCCAGCGCCAGCGTCAGCTCCAGCGCGAGCAGTGATAGCAGCGACAGCTCCAGCGTGAGCTGCCTCTCGGCCTAAACCTTCAACAAGAGTCTGGCGACGTCTAATCGGCCGTGACTCCGTAGTAGTCGAGGCCAAGGAGGAAGATGTGGAGCGGGATGAGCGAGCCGAGCATGATCTGGAAGAGAACCAGGCCGCCAAGGAGGACAACCGCGACGAGGAGGCCAAACGTGACGAGATGGAAGCAGAGAATGACTGCACGGAACGCAGTGCCGGTTGTCATCTCCACCGACGGGTGCCGGACAACCAGCGGTGGGTTGTTGATCGTCTCGGCGAGCTTGGCGAGCACAATGGTGACAGGTAGCATCATCCAGATCAGCGACCGCGACTTGCCGAGGACGACCAGTACGTTTTCGTGCTTCTGGTCGTCGTCATCAGGATCGTCGTCAAACTCGAGCGCCCGCTCGAGGACAGAGTACGACGAGATGAGCGACGGCGTCCAGATGCCAAACGAGAGCATAAGCAGCCGCTTGACGGCTCCAATCACAACAACCACAGGCGTAAAAATGCCCCACTTGCCGACGTTCTCCGGCCGCCCGGAAAAGGTGACCAGGATGATGAAAAAGCAGATGACCATGATGCCGATGTTGGCGTAAAACATAATGTCCGCCATCTGCTTGTCCACCGCCGAGCATGTCCGTGAAATCGACCACATGCCCACAAGCACCTGCGGGAGCATCAAAATGACCACCTGCAGCATGTAGAAGAGAATGGCTTGCAACAGTGCTGAGACGCCGTGGAACATCATCGTCCCGATCCGCCCGGTGCATGGCCGGTAGCCGAGAATCCGGATCGAGACCCAGAGAAGCAGGTCGCGCTGCAGGACGACTCCGAACAGCGCCATAAACGCCGCAAGGATCCACGGGAAGCTCAGGAGCAGCGTCCCGCCGCAGTTCCACACCAGCACCTCTTCGGTGAACGAGTTGAAAAAGTTGAGGAGGCTGTTGACCGAGAACAGCGCCCCAGTGAACGAGCCAAACGGCAGAAAGTCCTCGTACACTTGCAGCTCGGGCAGATCCGCCACGTACAGCGCCACTGACGATCGGATGAGCTGCAGATTGATGAGGAGCTTGATAGCGTCAAAGACAAGGAAGAGAACGCGGAAGAGAGCGAGGAATACGTACGCCACGACTCCGGTGTTCTTGCGGAGCTCGGCACGCTTGGCCGCCGCCACCGCCGCGCGCTCCTCCTTGGTCGGCACATGTCGCTTGCGCCGCTTTCGCGAGACCGGGACTGCCACCCGTTTGCGCGCCCGCCGCCCCACTGACGTTCCTGTCGCCGATCCGGCCGCCCGCACCCGCGCTGCTGGGTCGACGGATTAGTCGCTCCCCGCACCGCCATCTTCTTGATGCCCGACTTTTTTCGCTTGCTCTTGCTGCTGCCGGCGTCTGCGCCGCCGCCAGCCTCGGCGTCGCCATCGCTGACCTCGACAAGCGTCAGCTGAGACGACGACGACTCGTACGCGTACTCATACGCCGACGACGTGGCAAGGACGGAGGTTTCCTCATCGCCGCCGGTGCTGACATCGGCGTATCCGTCGTCAGACTCGTACTCGTACGCATACTCGGAAGAGTATGCGTCCTCTTGCTGCTCGACTGCAGCTGCTCGCTGGCCGCGACGGTCTTTGACCTGCCGCGGCGAGCACATGCGCGAGCACCAGCGGTACTTCTTCTGCCAGTGCCACAGGAGCGCAGACATGAGGACAAAGGCCACAGCGCCGACCGATGCTGCAATGGTTCCAGTCTTGTCGGAAATGACCGGCACAAAGGTCATGACCGTGTCGCGCGCGCTCGCCAACCTCGCCGCCTCGTACTCGGCAAAGATGACCAGGTAGAGCCAGCGGTTGCCGGAGCTCGGCAGCCCGTCGCTGATCCTCATCCCCAGTGAAGTGTTTTGCGGCGTTGAAGCCGAGCCACTGATCTCACGGACATCAGTCATCAGATCGCGCTCGTCGCCAGTCGGGGAGCTGATGGTGAACCACCGTGCCTCGTCGCCGCCGGCCGTTTTCGACGAGTTGACGCTCACAACCAGCGGTTCATCCCAGGCTGCAATCATGCCAAAGGTGACAACCTCACTCAGCGGACGCGGCGCCTCCATAGCAGCACGAACATCGACATGGGTGTTTGTCGACGAGACCAGTATCTTGGTGGAAAACATCGGGCCATCGGCCGCGTCGGCAACCAGCTCAATCCGCCGAGTGATGCCATTGAGCGACTCGGTCGGGGTAACCGCACCGTCCGCCGCACCAAGCTCAAGCACGACCACCACCCATACCACGACCACCAGAACCGGCACGATGCTTGCAAATGTCATGTGCTTGCCTTGTATCGAGTTGGGTGGCGGTGGGACAAGTGTGTCGTTGAGGAGAGTCTGTAGAAGCTGGAGATTCCTCCAACCGACTAGTGGCCCAGCCGGTCGGGTGGCGTGCCGCAGCCAGTCCCACCCGATCGCCGCCACCCGATCGCCGCCACCCGATCGCCTGCCCAACACCCGCCCAACCCGTCCGCCCAACCCGCCCAACACTCGCCAGACCATGGCAGCAGACTCGCAGCCAGAATCGACAGAGATATCAGCCAGAATCTTGAGTACGATCTCAATCAAGATCTCCCTCCCCCCCCCCATTGTGTCAAGTCCACTGCGCAGCCCGAAACAGTCCCCATCACCCACCCGTGACGACACACTGACGTAGCCAACATCCGCACTCAGCCCACATACTCCAGCCCACACTCTAAAGCGGCTGTAAGATGAGCGATAGCTCCACCGCGAGTCAAAGCCGAGAGCGTTAACCACGACTTGATCACTGCGCTGTTCCGATGGCCATGCCTCCCATCCTGCGGTCGGCCCCGTCCCCGTCCCCGTCCATCAGGTGGCCCCACCTGGTCGGGCCAGGGAGCAGGTAACGTCGGCGTGGGGAAGACTCGGTAGACTCGACTTGCTTTGTCAACGACGAGTTACAACAAGATGAGCACATCAGGACATTGGAAGGAGGAGAGCACAGCGGTTCTGCCGTCGTCTGTGTCTGCCACTCGGTGGTACTCGAGCAAGACTGGCCTTCGTGTGGTCCATGTCGATGTGGTGGGCCCTGTGGTGGAGGGCTACTTCACCTTGGCCACCGAGTCACACGATGATATGGGACTGCCGCACATTCTGGAACATGGTGTTTTTCTGGGTTCGGACACCGAGGCGTATTCGTACAAGGGTGTTCTTGATCAGCTGGCTGATCTGTGTCTGGCGAGAGGCACAAACGCATGGACCGCTACCGATCACACCGCCTACACCGTGACTACAGCTGGCTCGGATGGCTTCCTCACCCTCATGCCCATCTTTGTGGATCACATCCTCTTCCCCACTCTGACCGATGCTGGTGTCCTCACAGAGGTCCACCACATCAACGGTGAGGGCGAGGACGCTGGTGTGGTCTACTGCGAGATGCAGGCCCGCGAGCACACCTCATCGGAGAAGGCCTACTTTGCCCTGCTCCATGGCCTCTTCCCGGGCTCGGGCTACGAGGCCAACACCGGTGGCGCGCTCTCAGAGCTTCGAAAGGTCACTCCCACCGACATCCGCAACTACCACTCGGAGAACTACGTCGCCGAGAACCTCTGCCTCATTGTGGCCGGCTCCATCGACGTCGCCGACGTCTTTGCCGCACTCGCCGACGTCGAGGACAAAATTGTTGCCCGCCGGCCCGACGGGTACGTCCCGCGCCCGCGGCCATGGGCCACGCCGGCGCCGCCTATTTCTGCCTCGGTCTCGACCACCGTCTTCTTCCCGGACGCCGACGAGACCGTCGGCGAGGTCGTTGTCGGCTTCCGCGGGCCGGGCTACACCGAGCTCGACGAGCGGACCGCACTGGCGGTCGCACTCGACTACTTGGTCGAGACGCCGATTGCGCCACTGCAGGTGGCGTTTGTCGAGCGCGAGGACCCGCTCGCCGGCTCCATCTCGCACTGGTCCGAGTCGTTTGACGTCGAGGGCTGCGTCATCCACTTTGAGTCGGTGCCCAAGGCCAAGCTGCCGCTCATCGAGGACGCGTTTGCCGCCGCGCTCACCGCCGCGCTTGCCGAGCCGTGGGACGCCGAGCGGTTGGCGATCCTTGTCGAGCGGCGGCGACTCAAGTGCATCGAGGCGCTCGAGTCGCGGCCACACGCCACGGTCGCCCACTCGGCCATCGCCGACTTTGTCTGGGGCCCTCTCGACGGCTCGCTCTTTGCGCCGGCTCTTGATGCCGCAGCCAGGTTCGCGGCGCTGGCTTCCCGCGAGCCGGCCTACTTTATTGAGCTACTCCGCAAGTACCTCGCTGACGCCCACCGAGTCACTGTCGTGGCCGAGCCGTCAGCCGAGTACGGCGCCAAGCTCCGGGCTGACGAGGCCGCCCGCCTCGAGGCCCAGAAAGAGGCGCTCGGAGCTGACGGTCTTGCCGCCAAGGCTGCGGCCCTGGCCGAGGCCAAGGCCATCAACGAGATCCCGGTCCCGGAGGAGGTTCTCAACTCGATTCCGCGACCGCGCATCGAGTCGGTCTCGCTCATTCCGGTTGACACGTGCTTGTACGACCCGTTTGCCGCACCCGGCGCGCCGTTTGCCGCCCTCCGCGGCCTCGACTCGGAGCTGACCAACTACGCCCGGCTCTCGGCCATGTCGCTTGAGCTGGCGCAGGCCCGGATCCAGTTTGATGACATCCCGTCGGCCTTTATCGGCGTCGCTGCCTACATCGACACCTCGCACCTCCCGCCGCAGCTGCGGCAGTATCTCCCGCTCCTTGTCGAGCTCTTCTTTGAGGCGCCGACGACCACCGCTGCCGGCGATGCCAAGCTCTCCCACGAGGAGATGGTCGCGTTTGTGGCCGCCAACACCGTCAAGGCCTCGACGTCGCTCGGGACCGGTGGATCCTCCTTTGGCCCGGGAGCATATGCCAACTACCTGGTTGTCTCGCTCGAGGCTGCCGCCGACAAGTACGCCACAGTGGTTGAGCTCCTCCGCGACCTGCTGTTCTACCCGGCTGACACGGCGCAGCGGCTGCGGGTGGCAGCGATGCGCCTGGCGGCCGAGGCATCGGACACCCGCCGCGACGGTATGACCATGGCCCGCAGCGGCGCTGCCTGGCTCTCGTTTGATCACCTCCACCACAACGCCAACGCGGCCAACCTCGTCCGCCAAGACTCTTTCCTCCGCGAGCTTGCCGACGCGCTCGCCGACGAGACCTCATCGGCGGCAGCTGGCCACTTGGCCGCGTTTGCCTCACTCCGTGCCGCTCTCACCCGTGCGACCGACATAACGCTCCACGTTCGCGGCGCACTCCACGACCTGCCGCTGCTCCAGCCCTTTGCCGCTAGCGTGTGGACTGGCGCGGACGCGAGCCCGAGCCCGGCCGCCGCACCACCTGCCCGTATCACGCTGCCGGAGGCCGGGGCGGGCGGCCCGAGCCCGGCCACTGTCGTCCTCCCGCTTGCCTCGTGCGAGTCAACGTTCCTGGTGAGGACCTGCCGCGGCGTGGCGTCCGAGTCGGACCCACAGCTCCCGGCGCTGCTGGTGGCGCTGCAGTACCTGACGAGGATGGAGGGCGACTTTTGGCGCGAGCTCCGCGGGCTCGGCCTCTCGTACTCGTACGCCATCAGGCCTGATGTGGCGTCTGGCCTGCTCGCCTTTGTCCTCTACCGCGCCGCACAGCCCGAGGAGGCGTACCGGGTCGCTGCCAAGATAGTTGCCGAGTACGCCGATGGCAGCCGGACCATCGAGCCTGTTGGCCGCGACGCCGCCGTCTCGGCCACTCTCTTCACTATTGTCGACCGCGAGCCTACTATCACTGCCGCCGCAGACCAGTCGTTTGTCAACCTCCAGCTCCGGTCGGTGGCGCACGACCACACGGCTGCGCTGCTCAAGGCTGTGTCTGCCGTCACTCTCGAAGACATGCGCGCCGCGCTCAACACCTTTGTCCTCCCGCTCTTTGACGAGGACTTTGCCCACCTGGCGGTGACCACCAACACTGCAGCTGCTGACGCCATGGCCCAGTTCTTCACCGACCACCTCGGCCGCGACGCCGTCAAGGTTGTGGCCCAGGCCGAGCTTGACGAGTACTTTGCCGCCGACGAGGCCAACGAGGTTACCGTCGGCAACCTCATCGACCTTTAGCCCTTTTTGTTTTAAACGTCGCTGCTCTCCTCGGTGTCGAGCGGGAGTTTGAGCCGAATCCGGGTCTTGTTGGCGACCGAGGCGCCGGCGGCGTTGATGGCCGAGACGCGGAAGAAGAGCTGGGCGCCCGGCTCGAACGACGGCTCAGCGAGGTGGAGCGAGGTAGCTTCCGGCGTGAGCTCGTCGACAATGCGGAGGCCCTTGCGATACTCCCAGTCCCAGGCCATTTCGACGATGTAGCCGGTGAGCGGCGCGCCTCCAACGTCGTCGGGCGCTTGCCATTCGAGGTCGAGCTCGGGCTCGCTCGGGTCGGGCTGGCGCGCCGAGAGCCGCAACGGCATCGATGGCGGCTCGATCGAGAACGAGAGGCTCTTGCGCGGGCGCGCGAGGATAAACATGTCGAGCCAGTCCCGGCCGATGAGCGTGGCGAGGAGGTCGACGGCAAAGGTCGACGGCAAGCGCTCAAACGCGCCGCGCGGTGCAAACTCGCGGATGGCGAGCTGCTCGATGATCGTGTGGTACTTAGCGGCAACGGCGCCGGCCATGGCCGCCGACGCCAGCCACTCGGCGGCTGAAGAAAGGAGTTGGGTCGCCGCACTCCCGTCACCGCGTTTGGCGAGGACGTGGACGGCAGACGCAGTGCGCGAGGTCATGACACCGAGCGGCGCATACCCGCCGGGGTAGGCGGCAGCAAGCGCTGCAGCGCGGCGGAGGTGTCTCTCGAGAATCGCTGTTGCGTACTCTGCAACCGCATCGGCGTGGCCGGCTGAGCTTGCGAGCTCAGGTGCGCTGGCATCGGACGTGATGCTGGTCCAGTCACGGAGCGGGAGCGATGGCCCGGCACCTGCGGCGACCAGGATCTCCACACACGCCGCAATGTTGCTCGCCTCGTTGTTTGCAGACTCTGCACCCGAGATGGGCGAGGCGTCGCGGGTGCAGCACGGGTCTGGAAGGAATGGCAGGAGGCCCATAACGACGTCGACGGGGCCGAGCGTCGTTGTGTCGCGCTCGTCGCCCTGTGATCGCGACGATTGCAGCGTGACTTGCACCTGCGGGAGCGACATCGGCGGGACCACGCCCACAAGCGCAGCAAGGAGCTGCGGGGTGCGCGACGCCGCAGCAACCGTGAGCGCTGTCACGTTCTCAAACACCAGCGCCGATGCGGTGCCCGCGTAGCGGAGGACCGATACACTGGCCGGGTGCGAGGCGCCGACAGCGAGCGCGTCGGGCGATGCCTCGCAGAGAGCCACCAGTGAGTCGGAGGCACCGGCAAGCGCAAGTAGATGCACCGGACTCAGTCCGTCAAAAATGTAGCGGAAGCCCTCGACAACGGTCACGTCCTGTGAGCGGGTATGCTCGAGGGTGAGCGAAGCCTTGGCATCGAGCCGGGCGCCGCCGTCGACAAGCGCGGCGATGAGCCTCGGCATGCCCAGCATAGCAGCAGCGTGCAGCGGCGTGAGCGTCCACGACCGCTTGAGCGCCCACTCGCCCTGGCAGCTCTCGGCCGTCTCGATCTTGGGCAAGGCCTTGGTGAGAACGCTCTCGTCGTCAAAGAGCGCCAGGAGCTGGAGCAGCCGGTCCTCGGGCGAGACCATGGAGCCTGCCGAGATGGCGATCTTGTCGATCTCGGTGTACGCAAAGGTGGCGACGGGGAGCAGCTCATCCTCAAAGCGGATGTCGACCTCGTAGGCGGCAGGGTGCATGCGGGCGCCGGTAGCCTTGGCGGCCATGGCCGACATCGGTCGCCAGGCGCAGACCTCGCCCTTGGCTCGATGGACGACCGAGCCACTGATTCGAACTGACGATGCTGCCGAGCGCAGCGATGGCGGAACCGGCGCCGCAACCATCATGCCGACTACCAGCACCTTGCTTCCTATCGAGGTGGCATCGGCCAGCGCTGATGGCGCTGGGAGCGGCGGCACCGTTGCTGCCACAAGGGCTTGCAGGAGGCCGGCAAACTCGCTGCGAACGTGAGAGAGACAGAGCCCACAGCCATGATGATCACCATCACACGCACACGCATACGCGCACGCGCACTTACACATCGTTAGTACTATCTCCACCCGCCACGCCCATCCCCCTCCCCTCACCCCGTCACGTACGCAGAGTGGTTGGCAGCCTCGGCCTCGGCCTCGTCCTCGTCCTGGAGATGCAACGGGAGTTCGGCACTCACAGAGAGTGATGCTGTGTAGCTCGGGGCAGGCACATACTCCATGCTACACACAGTGTGGTGAGGATGATGAGGAAGGACAGAGAGAGAGAGAGAGGTGGGTGTGGTCATTGTCATGGTCGTCGGGGCAGTCAGGCAACCGCCTGCCCGCCGACCGCCCGTCCGCCCGACCAACCGCCCCACCGCCCGACCGCCGACCGACCGACCGTCCATTTACTTCTCTTTATCAATGTATGTTCGACGCGATCGTCTGGGCAAGTCTGGGACTGCCGTCTTTGTGGCGGGGGTGGTGGTGGTCAAGGGGTGGTGGTGGGAAGGGTAGCAGAGATGGTGGTGGTGGTGGTGGTGGTGGTGGTGGTGGTGGTGATCATGGTGGTGGTTCCCTCTTCCCCCTCCGCAATCCTTTCCTGCTGTTGTTGTCGCCCTTCCCCGCGCGTGCCATGACCGGCATGGAACACAGGGGAACGTGCTGCCAGCGGAGGATGGGCGACCGCTTCTTTGTGGCGGTGGCCGCCGGGGCGACTCTTTCCACCCTGTACCCAATCCACACCGCATGTCACATACATTCCCACTACACCGCACACTGTCCTCATTCCTATACTCCCTCATCCTCAAATCCCCACTCTGCTACCTTGCCTATACCTCTCCCCTCGCCCCCCGACACCCCCCCACCCCCCGCTTTGCGACCTTTTTCAAGTCAGCCACCAAAAGTGGCGCGCCATTCATTTCTTTGGTCACCCTGACCCCCCCCTCCCTCCTCACACACACTCACTCACTCCCCCCCCCCCCAACCCCATGATGATCATGCCCATGCCCATGACCTCCTCTTGAATCTTATTCCGCTGTGTGTGCCTGCCAATGTGAGCAACAGATCATGGAGGCGACACCAGCAGAGACCACACCCACTATGCCCACTGAGGCACCGGCTGCCCCGCTCCCGCTCCGGCTGCTCCCGCTCCGGCTCCGGCTGCTCCCGCTCCGGCTGCTGCTGCTCCGGCTGCTTCCGCTCCGGCTGCTGCTGCCCGGCGGACGGTGCGCAAGATGCCGGAGATCTTCCTGTGGACCAACCCGATCAACTCGGGCATTGTCTTTGCCTCGGGCCTGGCGGTGTACCTGCTCCTCGAGGTGCTCGAGTACACAGTCCTGGGGCTGGCGGCCCAGGTGGCGACGTATCTGCTCTTGGCTGCCCTCGCCTTTACCGGCGCCAAGCTCGTCCAGGTCAAGTTCCTCTCGGGCGCCCCGCTCGATCCGTCGCGGGCCAACTGGCCGCTGGCCAACTTCTCCTTCCCGCGCGACACCATCCACACCGCTGTTGACTCGGTCGTTGACGCCCTCAACGACGCCCTCGTTTCGGTCAAGGACATCTTCTACGTCCAGGACATGGTCGTCACTGCCCAGGCCGCCGGCGCCGCTTTTGTCGCCTCGGACGTCTTTTCGTGGATCGGCTTCAACACCGCCGTCTTCACCGCCTTCTTCCTCCTCTTCACCATCCCCATCATCTACGCCAAGTTCCACATCCAGATTGACCCGGTCCTCGCCAAGGCCAAGGCCCAGGTCGATGCCCTGGTGGCCATGATCCCGCGCGGCAAGAAGAAGACCGAGTAAGCTCGCCTCGCCTGCTGCAACCGTAAACTTTCAACCGACACTCGCCTATGCATCCTCCTTCCCCGCGTCGTCTGCAGGCAAATCCGCGGCATGCGTCAGCCGCAGAGCGAGCACCGCGCCGGCCGCCATCAGCAACGCGCCAAACCCGTAGAGCACCTGGTATCCGAGATTGCTGTCGCCGTGTCGCTTGCCGGTCTCCTGCAGCGCGTCCAGCGCTGCGCCGCACCACGCGGAAGGACAGCCTTGGGCGCGAGGACCGAGACAATCCACAGCGACCACTCGGTTCCGCCGGCCTCTACCGATCCGGTCGTACCGCGCACAGCCTGTGCCGCCCGCAGGATGTTGACCATCAGCGGATACGAGAGTGCCATGAAGCCGCCGATGCCGGCGCCGTAGATGAGCGCAAAGCCGACAATGAGCCCGAGCGAGCGGGCAAAGACAAAGACAAGTGGCCCTGCAATAGTGAGTGTCAGCCAGAACATGGCCTGTGTCCGATGATTGGGGCTCTGTGACCACTTCCACGACACGCCCGAGGCAATGACGCCGCCAAATTGCGTCGCCACCTGCAACGCGCCCGTCGCCGCCGCGGCCGAGTGCAGCCGCGGGCCGCCTGGCCAGAGCACCAGATTGTCATCGCCAAGCACGTCGTGGAAAAAGTAGAGCGCGTAGAGCGTGACGAGCGTTTGCCCCGCGTTCTGTAGAAAGGTCACTGTCAGGAACATGGTGTAAGGCCTGTAGCTGAGCGACGGGAACGCGGCGGTCAGTGCCGCGCACCGCCATCGCGATCGCGGCTCGACGCCACTCCCGCCGCGGTCGTCTGTCTGCAGCGAGAACGCCATGCTCTTCCGCTGGGCTTTGGCGGCCCGCCGCGCGCCTGGGGACTCTGAGAACGACGAGATGGCCACAAGCGCAGAGAGGCCGACAAGCCCAGCCGAGGTGGCGCACATCAGAAAGTCGGAAAACTTGTTGGCGGCAAAGAGGACAGCGAGTGAGCCGGCGAGGCCGCCGACGGTCGACGCCGCCGACAGCCAGGCGCCAAGCTGACCCGCCTGGTGTGGCGGCGCGATTTCGGGCACTGCTGCGTTGTAGGCCGGAATCGAGACCGCAAGTGCGATGCAGGTGACCGAGAAGGCGGTTGTGAAGAGCAGGTACGTGTCTGCAAGGTACAGCGTCATCACTGCTGCAGCAAGAAGGAGGCCGCCGCCACCGATGAACGGCTTGCGTGCACACGCCGCGTCTGATGCTGCGCCAAAGACCGGATTGAGGACAACCAGAAAGGCGTTGCCGATGGCCGCCGTCGCGCCCAGGGCTGAGCCCTTGCGACTCGGCGCAACGAGCGACGCGACCTTGGATGGGAGGAGGACCGGGATGATGAGCATGGCCAGGATGAAGAACGCTAACCAATAGGTCGAGAAAGCCGCTTGTGCCAATGTCGACATCTCCGCCACTTGTCCCGCCGTCCCCGTCGCCGATCCCGCCACCGATCCCGTCGCTGCCGCCGCCGCCGCTGGCAGCAATGGCTCATCCTCGCGCCCGACTGCCCCGTCCAGCACCCGCTCCACGCCCTTGCCGCCATCGTGCCCGCCATGTGTCGACGTCGACATGCAAGACGGTGGGAGAAGAGAAGGGGAGAGGTGGCTTCTTCCGTGTCGTGTCCGTCGTGCCCCTATCCCTCGTGCGCCTGTCGTGGCTTCGTGCGGACCGCACCGGCGCACTAACAGAGGCCACAGGTATGGCTTGCCGAACATCAGATCAGACCGTACTCTGCGGGGATGGACCCTAATCAAAGCGATCACTCTCCACCACACCACACCACATCACACCGATCACTCTGCACCACACCACACCACATCACACCGATCACTCTGCACCACACCACATCACATCACACCGATCACTCTGCACCACACCACACCACATCACACCGATCACTCTGCGCCACACCACACCACATCACACCGATCACTCTGCACCACACCACATCACATCACACCGATCACTCTGCACCACACCACACCACATCACACCGATCACTCTGCACCACACCACACCACATCACACCGATCACTCTGCACCACACCACACCACATCACACCGATCACTCCACCCAATCCATACCCCCAGCCATCGCCATCGCCATCGCCTCCCAGACAACCAGCCCCAACCCAGCCCTGCCCACACCCACCCCTCCCCATATCCCCCCTCCCACACACTCTTGCGCACACCATGTTCCGGGGACGTGGCACGGGGCATGGGACGGCATCTGTGCACGCACTGGACTCTGTCCGCATCCTGGTGGTGGGCGACTCTGGGGTGGGCAAGACGTCGCTGGTGGCGAGCCTGACGGGCGCCGGCGAGAGCCGACCGAGCTGGACCATCGGAGCCAACGTCGAGGTGGTGGGCCATACCCACTCCACCTCGGGCAAGCAGTACTTTATCGAACTGATCGATGTCGGCGGCGCCGCAAAGTACGCAGACGCTCGATCTGTCTTCTACGCCAACGCAGACGGCGTCATGCTCGTCCACGATCTGGCAAACGCCAACTCCTTTGCCAACCTCTTCAATTGGCTCTCAGAGATTGCCTTTGCCGCTCATCGCGCTGACATTGGTCATGAGCCTGACGATGACTCTGCTGGCGCGTCATCTGCCGCTGCTGCTGCCGATGATGAGGCTGCAGGACTCAACATCGACAACAACGGGCGCGTCATCGTCCCGCCCTTTGACATGGAGCTGTACTCGGGCTCGCCCATCGCCTCGTGCCCGCTGCTGCTGGTCGCCAACAAGACTGATGCTGTCGACGCGGCAAAGGCCGGCGCTGCTTCGCGCAAGCGCTCGAGCTCCGGCAGCTCGTCATCGGGCCTGACCTCGGCTGCCGGCTTTGAGCGCTTCTTCTCGCTCCTCAACTCGTCGAGTGTCGCCACCTGCGCCATCGATCCCGACTCGCTCGACGGCGAGGCCTTTGCCTCGTTCTTTGACCGCGTCATCGAGACCCGGCTGGCGGTCCGCGGCGGCTTTGCCGGCTCGTCGCCAGCCCGCCGCGGCTCCATCGGCCTCCGCTCCGCCACCTCGGTCCTCTACTCCAAGCGATGACGGCGCACCTGTTCCTTTACCTCTGCTACATCATGTACCGATGCTCCCGCAGCCACTCGATGACCAGCGGTGCGTGCGCCCGCCGCCACACGTTGTTGACTAGAATCGAGTCGATGGCCCGGTCGACCGAGCCCTGCGCGTGGATCACGGGGTTATCGGTGAAAAAGTCGCGGACGTCGCCGAGAACCGAGTCCGTGTCAAAGCCGCCCACAACTCCCTCGATAATTGTGTCGAGGCCGAACCCGCCGTCGCCGTACCGCGCCATGATGATGTCGGTAAAGTGGGCCTTGAAAAACTCATACGCCTTCATCCGCCCGCCAGCCGGCGTGTTGCGCGACACGTACACCATCATCCGCGGGAACTCCTGCGACGGGATCTTGCTCGCGTCCACCATGTCTGCCAGCGTCCGGTCGAGGTCCACCGGACTCGACGCCGCCGCCAGCGCGTACAGCGCATCGCGCTTCTCCGCTGGGTCGCTCGCCCGTAGTACCGCGTCCGCATCGCATCGTACTCGGCCGTTCCGCCAGTCGCCACCACATGGTGGAACACCGCCCCACGGAGCGCTGGATCGAGCGCGTTACCAGTCTCGTTCGCGAGGAACGCCGCGTAACCTATGTTGGCCGCCGCCACTGCGTCGTGGTGTCCGGCGTCAAGCGCCACCCGCAAGACCAGCGCACGCAGCTCTTCGCTGTCACGCCCGTCTGCAGCTACCCCGTGCGGGTTGTCGCTCGCCAGGTACGAGATGACTCCGTTCCGCGAGAGTGGTGCCACCACTTCGTACATCGTCGCGTTGAGCACATCTGTCACAAACCCACGAAGCGTCGCCTCGCCCGCAGACTCCACCCGCGCGTTCGTCAGGTGCAGCATCGTGAGCACAACGTCCCACAGCGGGAACGAGCTGTCCGCGCCTCTAAACGCCCGCCGCACAAGGTTGAGCGGAATAAATGGGTGGAGCTGGACATCGCGCGCGAGCGTAAAGGCGTCGTGCACCGCCCCGGCCTTGTCGAGCACAGACAGCGCGCTGCTGTCGGCCTCAAGCATCGCCGTCAGTGCCTCCCACCCGGTCGCTGTGTAGTTGACAATGTAGTAGCCGCCACGCCCGAGATTGCCGACCACAACTGGCGTCGCCCCGCTCGCCGGCAGCGTCACGTACACCTCCTCGGGCCCGGCCTGGCGGAGAACGGCAAAGCTCTCAGCACCATCCGCCGCAGATCCGGCCTGCAGCGCCATCGGAATGGTCCACACCGTGTCAGTCGATGCGGCTGCCACTGCAATTTGCTGGGCAGAGTTGACCGCCCGTGTCGAGAGGAACCGCTCTTGCTGGACCAAGACGTTGCAGCTTGTCCCGGTCGCGGTCGCGCACGCCGAAGCGTCGATGTTGACGACCGGAAAGCCCGGCGCATGCGTCCACGCATCCATCAGCTGCACAATGTCAAGCGTCGACGCCTCGGACATCGACTCCCACAGGTCCCGCGTCGTCGCTGACCCGTACGCATGCTTGGAGAGGTATGCGTTAAGCCCGTCCGAAAACGCGGTGTTGGAGATCTCCGGTGACCGCTGAAAGTAATCGACAAGGAGCCGGATGACCGACGCACCCTTGCCGTACGAGACAGAGTCAAAGAGCGAGTTGATTTCGTTGACAGACATCGATGCCGGCACCGCTAGAGGGTGCGTGTGTGGCGACGCGTCCTCGAGCATGGCGCCGAGCGTCTCGTCGCGCGGAAAGACGTCCCATACCTTCCATGCCGGGAACGCCGCGTTCATCCCCACATACTGCACGTACGAGGCGAAGCCCTCGTTGAGCCACAGGTCGTTGAACCACTCCATGGTCACAAGGTTGCCGAACCACTGGTGCGCGAGCTCGTGCGCCACCACAAGCGCCACTCGGTAGTGCGCCGCCGCAGACGCCTCGGGCGTCACCAGCATCGCAGAGTATCTGTACGTCACCAGACCCCAGTTCTCCATCGCGCCCGCCGCAAACGACGGAACCGCAAGCAGGTCGAGCTTGCGCAGAGGGTAGGCCTGGCCAAAGAACTGCTCGTAGTACGCAAGCACGTCGACCGCCACATCGAGCGCAAACTGCGCTTGGTCCACCAGCGCCGGAGGCGCGTACGCCTTAACCTCCACTCCGGTCGACGTCACTCCCGAGAGCGACGCCAGCTCGCCCACCGCGATCGCCACAAGATACGATGACATCCGTGGCGTCCGCTCAAACCGCGTAACCACGTAGTTACTGTCGGCAACCTCGTCCGACGTGTCTGGCGAGACCGTGCTCGCCGGCGCGTTCGACAGCGCCGTGAGGCTCGAGTGGTGCGAGACGGCAATGCTAAAAATCGCCTTGTACTCAGGCTCGTCAAAGCACGGGAACATTCGCCGCGCATCCGTCGGCTCAAACTGCGTCACCGCCATGTACTCGCCCTCGTCCACCTCTGCCAGATACAGCCCGCGGAGCGGCGAGTCGCGCAGCGCCGCCGAAAAGGTCACCACAAGCTTACCACGCGCACCACGTGTCAGCAGCCGCCCGCCAAGATCCAGCATGACCTCGGTCATCTGCGCATCCGTCTCGATGCCAAGCTCCCACCCGGGAAGCCCTGCAGCCATGCCCTCCGGTCGCCACTCGGCCTTGCCCACCACCAGGTTCTCGCCGGCGTGGAGGAAGAGCATCGACGTCGGCGACTTGATCACCGTGTCGATGACCACGCTCCCGGAAAAGTACGGAAACGGAGACGGCAGGCCGACCCGAATAAAGAGCGAGTAGTCAATGGGCTCAGCCACCCGCGGCAACCGCTCCGCCGCAGCTACCTCTTGATGAGGATAGCTGGGATACGGCGATGAGCCGTGCTTGCGGACAGAGGCCAGGGCCACCAGCACCATGCCCAGCACCACCACCAGCCCCGACACTCCAAGCACGCACATCCGCACACCTGTACTGCCCCCCTTGGGCCCAGGGCTGTACGCCGCAGGCCGCTGCACCTCGTCATCGCCATCCCCCCCGCCACCATCCCCTCGGCCGTCCGAAGGCGCCGCCGCAGGCGCCCGTCCACGTGCTGCGCTGCGCAGCTCGCCGGTCTTCCGAGAGCCATACGAGTCGTCAGAGAGTGACGACGACGAAAGCATGACCAAGCTCTTGGTATAATAGTCAAGTATGTGCCCGTTGGTTGGCAGTCTGGTGTGGCTTGTGAGGCGGGGGGGGGGAAG